AAATAAGTGTTTTATGGTGAATAATTAAAATAAAAAAAAGAGATCTCTCAAGGTAGACATACCAGGACTGGTAGCTTAATTCATCAGGTGAAGAGTCTAGTCTTTTTTCATATTCTGCTTCAACAGCCTGATTGAGAGTCTTTATTTTGTTTTATTTTTGAGCATTATGTTAGTGTTTCAGGAGGAAAAGAACAAATCCTGGCCAGATTATCATCTTCTGTGAAGCATTCATGGAAGGACCAGTCTGAAATTACATTTACCTTTCCAGGCAGAACTGGGTCTCAAGACTGTCCTGGTACAAAGGAGTCTGGGGAAATAGTTTTGTTTTGCCTTTTGCTTTTGTTTGCTTGTTTTTGCTTGCTTTATTGTTTGTTTTGTTATTGTTTTCTTTTCCAATCCCTATAGCAAAGAAAGAGAAATTTGGAGAAGAGAAGGCTATCATGATTTGAATGCAGCTCCACCAAATTCAGGCATCATCAATGTGATAGTACTAAGAGGCAGGACTTTCTAAAGGTGAATATAGCCTTCCCTCATGAATGTGATTAAGATCTTCCAAAAGAGGTTTCATGCAGCACTGGGGTTTTCTATCTTCTGTCATGTAAGGATGCACCATTCTACTGCTTCAGAGGGTGCAGTATTCAAAAGGCCAGCGCTCAAGTTGAGACTGGATCCTTGACAATGGACAAATATAAAAACATCTAGACCTTGGATTTCTCAGCCTACCGAAGTGTGAGGATCAAGCGTTTGTTTCTTAACTAATGGGAAACCTCTCCATTAGTTAAACCATTTAAACTTTTTCTTTTTTTAAAAACTCATCATTTTGGAAGTTGCATTTTGTTTTTGCAATATAAATGAACTAACATAGACTTTTCGTGGTTTATGGTGCCAATCTAAGGTGTTTTGCAGGGCCCAATCTCTATGCACTGTCCTGGGTAGCTGAAGGTCATTTTCCTTAGGCTTGCCTTTGCAAAAACCATCTGTTCTGTAGTTGAACATAGCTTACTCAACAAATATTTAACAGTCTGCCTGATGTGTGATGATACAGTAAAATTCTGTATCATGATTAATGCATCCCAAAGACCCAATTACACAAACTGTGAGTTTATTATGAGACCATAGGAATAAATGCTGAGAAAAAAACTACATGTGGAGCTTGGATAGTCCAGTGGAATGTCTTCCCTGTCTACCTACCCCTTGAAACCACACATGGTGCCTGTCCTTTGCTAACTGAGTTTGTAGAATCAAGTGTTTCTAGAAATCGCCTTCTGTAGACACATTTAGTCAAAATTTTCTTCATTGTCGGGCGGTGGTGGCGCATGCCATTAATCCCAGCACTCAGGAGGCAGATGCAAGTGGATCTCTGTGAGTTCAAGGCAGGGCCGGACCGACAGCCTCCAAAACAATACAGAGAAACCCTGTCTCGTAAAACCAAAAAAAAATTTCTTCATAGACTGGACCAGTAAGAAACTGCTCCTTTGTTTTCTGGTTTCTAGTCCTTTGTTTGCCTGGTCATCTCTACCTGGTTTTCTCATACCCACCAACTAAAACAAACAAACAGATAAAAACATGCACACTGTATTCCAGTTTGCATTCTTGAAGGTATTGCAACACACACACACACACACACACACACACACACACACACACTTACAATTAGAACAGTGTATTTACATGAGCTCATATAAAATATTATCAATTGCCTTGAAATATGATCTATGTGTTTTTCTTCCTTTTCTTAAATTAACAAATATATTATTGTTGTATGTGTGCATGCATGCCACAGTACATGTGTGGATATTAGAGGACAACATTGTGGAGCCCATTCTCTCCTTCTGATTTTCCTGCTGAACCATCTCACTGTCTCTCTGAGTCTCATTTCTTTCCCTGACCTAAATGAAATCCTTGACCTACTTCTAAAGCTCTTCTGGTCATTTTCAACTAATGAAGGCGTTTTGGTTATTTTAATCACAATCACAATCAACCACGGTTTAATTTCTGTAACTAAGCTACCTGAATGGAAATTAGGACATGACCACTGCTAGCTATGGTTGAGGAGAAGGTTTTTATTGTGGATCTGAGGGAGAGAACAGTCAGAGGCGTCTGGAAGAGTCCAGTCTAAACGTGGCTGGCAGAATAGATGAGACCACGGACATGGGCTGAGGGAGGACAGGGGCAAGAGAAGGAGAAGAACCAGGAGAATGAGGACAAAGAGAGGAGAAAAAACCACGAGTGGTCATAGAGGAACCAGAAACTGGTGGTGGGGCCATGAAACTGGGGGCTCAAGAGGCAGTGGACGGGAGTGGAAAGTTCCGGGAGAAGCCAGGACTCTGCAACAATCACTTAGATTCTGGGTGAGCCTGGATGCCAGTGTCTGCTTTGAGATGTTAACAGGCACCTCAGTTAGTCAGCTGTACTGAGTTTCTGTAGGATCTAGCATTACAGAGTCCGGTAAAGTGGTTAAAAGTCATAACTTGAAGAAGGTGTAGCTTTTTCACTCCTAGCCTGCAATGCAGTGGAGAGGGCATTTGTTCTCCTCTTTTCTACGTCCTCAAATTAAGTCTTTTTTCTTAATTAGGTTTTATTGCTGTGAAGAGACACCATAACCATGGCAACTCTTAGAAAGGAGACCATCCAACTGGGGCTGGCTTACAGTTCAGAGGTTTAATTCATTACCATCTTGGCAGGCAGCATGGTGTTGGAGAGTTAGCTGAGAGTTCTACATCTGGATCTGCAGGCAGCAGGAAAAGACAGTGAGCCATGAGACAGTAAGCATGGCTTGAGCTTCTAAAACCCCAAAGCCCAGTGAGGCACTTCCTCCAACAAGGCCACACCTACTCCAACGAGAATGCACCTCCTAATAGTGCCAGTGTGAACCAGGGGTCTGTTTTCATTCAAACCACCACAGTTCCTGATACATAAGTAAAGATAGACTAGATTCCTCTTGGCAATGCCCTGATTCAGTCATGCTTAAGGTACATGGAGTAAAATCACTCTGAAGAGACACAGGTGTCCCTGTCTTTGGAAATGAGACCATTGAAACAAAGCACCCTGAGAAACTGCAATCTCCCCTGAAATCTCATGCTGGGCAAAGGAGAAAAATGCTGAAGCCCTGGTGCCCACAGAAGAAAAAATTGTATCCCTGCAACAGATTTCAGTCACTCCTGAAGACTGGTCAGGCTCTCAGAGACTGGAGCTGAGACAATGATGATGGGCAGGACCACACCTTGACAAGACTTGATTAGTTCTACATAGCTCTTGCCCTCTGTTTAAACCTATACCTCACGGCAGGACCCTAAAGATGAAGAGAACATCACCAGGCTACTTTGTTGTTCTTCCCAATGTGTCCATATTGAACAAGTATCTTTTTTCTACTTTTCACTGTCACTTGTATGTTTAATTGGCCTGTTGGGGACTGGTGGCTGATACCAGCTTGTTAGGGATGCCAAAGCCCAAGCTCTGACCCTAACAACTTTGATAGCAAAGACTTATTCTTTCCCTCAAAGGACATATCTTAGCAATTCTCCTACTGCTATCCTGAGAGTGTGACTCTTCATGGGTGATGTCCCTGCTCCCATTGGATGGTGTGGAAACAACTTGGGTCTTTATCTGATGCCTCATTCAGCCTCTCTGGGCAACTCATTTAAACACATTCCTTTTGAAGTTCACTTCCCATGGGTTCAATTGGTCTTTGGTGGGAAAAGTCGTGTTTCTTCCACAGTTACTGAAGACACATTTTGTTCTCCCAGCAACCTCTTTTCCCTTCTGTCCTACTACAAGACTCATACTCATGAGATTAAAGTTTCTCTGAATGGAACCCTGGAAAATGCTTTTTCCTTTGAGACGGAAAACACAGCTGGACATCAGCAGCTCCTTTTTAGAAAAAATATTTTCACTTGCCTATGGCATCACTGTCCTGTGGCTGGTATAAAACACCCCAACCTAAGGCAACTTAAGGAAGAAAGAGTATATTTGGCTTGTGGTTCGAGATGGCTAAGAGTCCGTGACAGAGGGGTAGATGGAGGCATGCAACCATGTTGTAAGCATGGCAGCAGGAACAGGAAGCCAGGAGCTCACATCTTGAACTGCAAGCATAAATCAGAGGGAGAGCTGCAAACGGCACAGGACTTTTAACATCAAAGCCTGTCCTCCAACAAAGCTGTAGCACATAAATATGCCCCAGCATTGCCACCAACTAGGGCTCACATGTTCAAAGACACACACCAGTGGAGACAGTTCTCATCCATACCACCACACCTCTTAATACTTTGACAGATGTAGGGTGAGTGCTAGCTAAAGGCACAGACACCAAGTCTCAGATTCTGCTTTGGTCTGTGGCACAGTATGTAATCTGGTACTTCTCTTTGGTCCATGGGCATATTTGGTGTATGCTCACAACTGTTGTATTACATAACTCTCCTGAGTAGTATTTCCATAAAGTATGTAAACTTTTCCGGGATCTTAGATGAATATCTGAAGATTCTAACACACATATGGGGAGGAGCCATCGTTTCTTTACTGACCCGTCTCTCTGAATAGAAAGGGGACTTAAGATAGCTTGAAGTCAAGCCTGAAACTATCAGCACTACATTAAACATGGTTGAAGGAGGGAAAGAACACCTGCACCACTAGTTTTTCTATTAAAAATAGTTAATTGGTCCTATGGGTGGCAGACATTCTCTAGTCCTCATTGGCTGGGCAATGAATTCAGAGCATTCCCAAGTCATTCCCAAACCATTTGTCCCTCTCATCCTTGTGAGATTGAGGTCAGAGAGCCCAGTTCTGTTGTCAGGGCAGCCTGGCTCCTTGTTTGAGGATCGCGGCTTCTTTATCGAGGAAAAAATAATCTCAACAGCACACGACTTCCTCTAGGCACACCGTAATTCTAAAGAGGGCTAATAACGACCAGACCTGGCTATTGGGGAAACCAAAGTCCAACAGGACTAGGTGAGCAGCCCGGCAGGTCCTTTCTTTCTCGGAACCTTTGTCCTCGGTCCGCGTCCCCGCCCGGAGGAGGAACACCGAAGAGCGTGGACCGGAAGCGCGCGCCGCCGCAGCCGCGGCGTGTCTGCAGGCAGGGAGGGAGGGAACGGCCGAGCGAGCGGCGGAGGAGTGCGCGAACATGGCGGCCTTCTCCGGTGCGTGGTGGGAAGCTGAGGGGTTGTGAGCGGCTCGCCCCGGCCCACGGGGAGCCTTTCGGGGTTACTGTTGTGGCGGTGGGGTGGGTCGGGTGGCGGGAGACCGGAGAGATGTCGCCCTCCGGGGACCCGCGCCGTCCGGCAGGGGCGGCCGGTTCAGGCCTGGCTTTTTCTCGCGAGCGCTACCCGGGAGTCTTCGCCGAGCAGCGTTTTCTTCCCCCGTTCTGCCGTGGGTCTTGCAAATCCCGACATTGGCGTCTGCGCTCGCGGAGCCCGGCCTCCTGCCTCTTTGACGTGGCAGGGTCCCGCGACGCATCTGGCCTTGGCCAGGCCAGGCAGCCGCTAGCGTGGGGAAGGGGGCATTTTGGGGGAAAGGATGATTGTCCTGTTTAGGGGTCCCCCCTTCCCCTCCCACACACAAGCCTTCCCGAGGGGGAAAAAAAAAACTACCACGACTAAATCTAATCGTCGTTTGTTAAGCATCACACTGTGAGGGTTAACGTTGAATGTCAAAGCCAAAGGAAAAGGATTTTCTTTGGGGACACATTTAACTATAACTTTTGAGAATGAGTTAGTTGCTTTCTGACACCAAACAGAATTTGGAATGGGGTGTTGAACCCACCAGTTGATGTTTCTCACTTTCTCGATCCACCTTTGCTTATGCACCCACAGTTTTGCAAAGTTCAGCCAACCTTAAGTATACGAAATATGATCCCTCTGTATATGTGTACACACACACACACACACACACACACACACAGAGCAATAAATTAGACTTGCTATCTTTTCATATTAACCTAGTTAAATGACATTTTAATATTGTTTGCTTTTTCCATTTTCTCCAGTAAGAATATCAGAAATTCGAAATCTCAGGCTTTCTGTTAAAGTCACGTCTCCTAAGAGGAATGCTCTCACTTAATACAATTTTAGACCTGAAATCTGTCAGGAAATTGTAGGTTGTTGTTTTATAGACACACATCTTTGGAAGAAATGTCTAAGTTTCAGGACAAAAGTAAAATTAAAGAATCTGAGCATGTCCTGTTTTCCCTTAAAAAGGTTAAGTTTGTAGAAAGTATGCCCAACACATGACCAGGATCTGGCAAGAAACTGTCTAAAATTTGGTAAAAGCAACCCATGATTGCTGCTTGTTTTTTTTTGTTTGTTTGTTTGTTTGTTTTTGGTTTTATGAGACAGGGTTTCTCTGTATTGTTTTGGAGGCTGTCGGTCCAGCCTGGCCTCGAACTCACAGAGATCGCCTGCCTCTGCCTCCGAGTGCTGGGATTAAAGGCGTGCGCCACCACCGCCCGGCCGTGATTGCTGCTTGTAACAGTCTTGCAAACAGCTTGAGCTTGCAATACTCTGTGTGTAGCATATTTAAAACCATCACTTTCTTTCCTTTTAACTTTTCCTTATGTTTTGGTGGTAGGAGTTGAACAGACATGTTCCCCGAGTGAAGGTCAGGTCAGCTTGCTAGAGTTGGTCCTCTCCTACCATGTGGGGTCAGGGGCTTGAACTCAGGTCTTCAGGCTTGGTGGCAAGTGTCTTAAGCCACTGAGCCTGGGCCATTGCTCTCCTTTCTCCCCAATAGTTTGCATTTTAGGAGACAGCATAGACCTAGACTGTAGGGTATAGTTGCTAGGCAGGTGAGTCTAGTTGTTCATCTTTAGGGCTTACGTAGTTTATCTGTGGAAAGGAAGGTTAAGTAATTTACCTAACTGTAACTGGTTTCACTTGAGTAATGATACAATGACAACTGTCCACTGTATCAAATTTTTTATTTTCTGCAAAATTATTTAAATAGACAATTAACATAACAGGTCTTCACCTGACAACCCATTGTTCAGGTTTTCTGTACTGGCACCCCTGCCTCCCATTGGTTAATCAGTATTTATATATTAAAAATACAAACAATTTTATTTCTCAAACTTAGAGAAATGAATTTCCCCTTAAAGCAGTGGTGTTACTGTGAAAACTCTTTTCACACGCCTTGTGTGCTGTGCATTGTAGTGGTGGCTGAGAGGTTATCTAAACTTAAGAAGGACTACGAGGCTCAAAACCGAAGTTATTCCTATATATGGGAGTTTCTGATTTACTTACACTTTAAGTTTTTATTGAAACATAGTATTTGTATGTAGTTAGAAAGTTCAGTGTGAAGCTTTGATCCCTAAATGTGTTTCATAATAGTCAAATCAGGGAAAATAGCATGATCATTACCTTAGACTTGTCAAATCTCTATAGTAAGTACATTAAAACCTCTTCTAGTCTAGGATACATGGTGCCTTATGAACAGAATTTTGATATGGCTGCAATGAAATGTGGGCTGTCTATTTTTCTTAGGTCCTAGAGGGTATTCAGATGGTCTTGGACTAGCCAGAACATAGAACTGCTGCATTATCACCCAGTGAAACTGGAGATGCAGGTCTAGGAGCCTAACTGTCAGATTTTTAACTCCTTCATTAATAGCTAAACAAGCACTGGTGGCTACCATGTGCTAATGGCACTGTGCCAGTGGTATTATAGTGTTACCTCACATTTTCCTGTACTCCTACAAAGTAGGGATGACAAGTCCCCTTTTCTGCAGAGAAAACAGATTTATAGTTTTGTCCCAAGGTTGTCTTTGTAAATGAGACCTTGGATTGAAGTGAAATCTGTCTCAAAACTGAACACTCTTAGCAATTCCATACAAAGGTCCAGTATAAGAGCCACACTCAAAGCTTTCCCCAGTTCCATATAAGAGACTTAAAGAGAATATGATTTATTAATAGGTTTAATTATTAAAATGACTTTTTGTTTTCAGAGATGGGTGTTATGCCTGAGATTGCACAAGCTGTGGAAGAGATGGATTGGCTGTAAGTATATAGAACACAAATACATTTTTGACAAAAATCTTGTAATATGAACAGTAATTTTTGTCAAATAGCTAACTACAGTTCTTCAAATGTGATTCTTCTAGTCTGCCAACTGATATCCAGGCCGAATCTATCCCATTGATCCTAGGAGGAGGTGATGTACTTATGGTAGGTTTACACTTAGTAATGTGGTTGGTGGTTTGGGGCATACATGTTCCGGGGCTATGTATAATTCACTTTAAGATACCTCAGAAGCTTACAACTGGAATTGTTTTACCAAATTAATTTTATTAACTCACCAGCATTTGTAGCTCATATATTATGGTCTGCATATTCTACAGAAGCTGTGGGAATAGGCTTGGGTGATTTTTCAGTTTTTATTGCAGATAATGGTGGGTGGTAGCATAGTTAGCTAGTCAAGTGTTACAAGATTTTTACATGATATTATGCTGTTTGATCTCTCTTAATTCACAATTTAAACTACAATTAATTTCCCCCATTCAGGCAGCAGAAACAGGAAGTGGAAAAACTGGTGTAAGTAATACATTTAAATTTAATTAAAACCCGAATTTTAAAGTATTGAAACAGTTTGTATTTTGTGTATTTGAACAGCTTATATTTTGAAATAATTAAAACAGCCCCCTCTGGTATGTAAGAAATGATGATTTTGTCTTTGACTTAATTAGGTTTACGATTGGTATGATGAAACACCATGGCCAGAGGCAGCTTGGGGAGGAGAGAGTTCATTTAGCTTACGTATCCTAAGTCACAGTCCATTGAGGGAGGCCAGTGCAGGAACTCAGACCTGACTAAATCCGGAGGCAGGAGCTGATGCAGAGGCCTGAGAGGTGTCCTGCTTACAGACTGCTCCTCGTGGCCTGCTCAGACTGCTCTTTTATAACACCCAGGGTCGCCAGTCCAGGATGGCACCACCCATGATGGTCTGTGCCCTCCCATAGCACTAATTAAGAAATGCCCCACAGGTCTGCCCTCAGCCTGAGCTTATGGAGACATTTTCTCAGTTGAGATTCTGTCCCCTCAATGACTGTAGCTCAGTTCAAGTTGACTTAAAGCTAGCAAGCATAGCCATTCAGAGTAATATTTCTCTTGTTGGCAAATTATGAAGGTTTGAAGAGAGTATGGTTTTAAGAATGTAGTTTTATAGACGCCTACAGAGAGAGGCACCACAGATTCTGTAACGTTTGTAGGCATTTCAGGATGCTCTTAAAAAGACCACACCCAGAAAATATGCCTGTTGCTGGCCTCGACTAGAGAAGCAGTCTGAGTAGATGGCTTTTCCGTGCTCCTCGACTAGAGAAGCAGTCTGAGTAGATGGCTTTTCCGTGCTCCTCGACTAGAGAAGCAGTCTGAGTAGATGGCTTTTCCGTGTTCTGCTTTGTGTTCATTCTCAAGTTCCTCATTCTGTATTCCAGGATGTCAGCTGGCTTGCGTCTGTCAACTCCTGATTATCTGATTGGTATTTAGGTTTGGGTAATGAAATAGGAGCAGCCCTCTGGATAATTTCTAAAGTGCATGTGCAGTCTTCAATCATACTGACTGCTCAGTAGCGGCTGACTACTAATGTAGGAAACATCTCTCTGACAGGCCTTTAGTATTCCAGTTATCCAGATTGTGTACGAGACCCTGAAAGACCAGCAGGAAGGAAAGAAAGGGAAAACTACTATCAAAACTGGTGCTTCGGGTAATTTTTATGTTGCTGTTTTCTTTTTTGTAATTAGTCCTTCTCTGTTTGCTAGTTTGAGTTTAAGGTATGCATTTATTGCCTGTGTATGCAATTGCCTTGTTGTGTCCTGGAAACAGGGATAACAAGTGACATTTACAACATAATTAGTGAATCCTCCATCCTAAAACACCGATAATGCTTCTTTTGAGAACATAGTGGCATTTGGAATTAACCTTTGGTGATTTCTGTGGTTTTCTTAACCATATGTAACTGTGTGTGCCTACGACTATGGTTGAATTAGTATGTTGTGCAATGTGGGATTTGTCTTCCTTACAGACTCTAGGCTGATCCTCTTACTGGGCTTTGATCCTGTCTACTATGAATAATCTCACTTTCATTTCTTTAAGTTATGATCTTTTTCCTTCCATAGTTTCTAAATTTCAGTCTTCATCTCTGCTTCTATCACATTTTAACAAATTGTTATATATTTTAAAGTGACTAGTTTTATGTTACAAAACAGAATTGTGAAACATAGCAAGTTTAAGTTGAGTGAACTTGGCATATCAACTTTTTCTTTTTGATATGAAAGTAATAATGTCAGAGAGGATGAACTAATTTAGCAGATGAATTATGCGATAGACAATGAATATAACTATTCTTTTGGCCTATTTTAAAATAGTGTCAGAACTTTTAACAGCTATATGCCCTCATTTATGAGAGATGATGCTAGATAAGAATGCTTTTGAGGTGGCTAAGTAGAAGAAGCAGGATGGGTCTAAAAGTCATGTCTGGTGAGGAGACACAAACGTGCATTTATAAACACGAAGGGTTAGGGAGAAGACAGTCGATGACCAAAGGAGGAAAGGACATGTTTGCTCTAGGGAGCAGACCAGGAACAGCTTACACGTAATGTGCAGGGCCTCTTAACTTTAGACTAGCCAGTGGTTCAGGTGAGCTGACGGAAGAGCGAGCCCTGAGGAAGAGGGAGCCCTGAGGAAGACAGTTCTCCAGAGCTAAAGCACTCAAACTTGATAGATAGCGCTTGACCAGACATGAGCCAGAAAGGATCTCTGCCTTGGACAGAAGATGCGCTAAACTGCATGTAGGGTCTCTTTAGTTACCGTAATTTTTATCATTCATAGCCTATTAAGATGTTTTGGAAAAGGGAAGATACCAAACACAAAAATAGGAAGAAAAATGAAAGTGTGACTTGAGAATTTCATATTGAATTAAAATAAAGGACTGGCTGATGAGGTCAGTTATTTAAGGTCGCGTTGCTTAGTTACCTGAACTTCACTTTGTCAGTGACAAAGATCAGTCTCTGGTATACAGAGTGCACTGAAACAAGGAGGGAGACTAGGTTTAGTCAAACAGGACAGTGGTTATCATTGGCACCTTTTAATTTTCAGGGTTAGTGTTGTCTTCAGTAAAAACAGCTGCACATATATGTGTATATTACAAATAATGTGTAAAACCATGTTGGATCAAGGGCATTGATATATGAAATATAAACTATTTTCTGCTTTCATAGACTTATATATTTCATATGGTTATGACTCACTTTTTTTACATTCATTTGTTAAGTGCTCAACAAATGGCAGATGAATCCATATGACAGAGGGTCTGCTTTTGGTAAGTAGATACATTTTACCTACTCATTGATAATTCAGAAACTTAAAAAAAATACATGCAAGCTGGGCGTTGGTGGCTTGCGCCTTTAATCCCAGCACTCGGGAGGCAGAGGCAGGCGGATCTCTGTGAGTTCAAGACCAGCCTGATCTACCTAGTGAGTTCCAGGACAGTCTCCAAAATAATACAGAGAAACCCTGTCTCAAAAAACAAAAACAAAGCAAAACAAAATATTTGAAAATACCAAGAAAAGTATGAAAAAGTGCTGTACATGATTTGATTCCCAGAGATTAGAATATAGTCACTAAAGGTAAACAGTATAGTGCTCAACTAAAAGGAGACAGTAGAATATGATGGAAATAAAGCCTAGTATGTGTGACAAATTAATGTGCATAAAAAATGTAGTTTTGTAATATTATATTTCACTGGGGAGAGGGGAGATTTATGCAACAAAAAATTGGCTTCTATATATATCATAACTAGAAATAAATTCCACATGTACTTGAGATTTAAATTATATGTGTGTGTATATGTATGTACAATTAGGTATGTATAATCTAGTAGAAATGTATGTACAATTAGGCATGTATAGTCTAATAGAAGAAAAACTTTTCTAGTCCAAATAGAAGACTTAGAAATTATAAAAGAATGCCTATATTTATTATTGTTTTATTATTTTAACTAACACATTAATTGTATAAACTAGTAGGATTCACTGGGATTCCCATCTGTGCAGACCTGTGTTCTAATTACATGCATCTATCTACCTTTCTCCTTGATCCCCTGTTGAATTCTTAATTCTCCTGCCTCTGTTTCCCAAGTGCTGGTATTGCAGGCAGCTCACCAGAGACCCTTATGCAAAGGTTCTTAATATTCATTATCACATGAGCAAGAACTTAAAACTTGTGAAAAATGTGGTAAGATGTTTGATGAAGTGTTATTTTACAAGTTTGTTCTTTACCAGGTACAGAGGATGACTTGGAAACATGAATAGGGCAAAAGATACAGTTTCTGGTATAGACAAAAGCCAGGTCTTTATTTAATAAGCATATGTCTGACTCTGGTATGTGATGTAACACCTCATCTCTTAGAGCTCCCAGTACTACCCAAATAGCACACACTGGTCACATGCATCTTACTAAGTAGTCAGCAAATTGTGATGCGTGGGTCCCATGGCACCCTTAGTCCTCTTGTCCTCACAGCACTGGGGAATGGCTTCTAAACAGGCACGAGACGATGTTTCAGGCAAACAATCTAGGGGTTGTGCCCATCTTTTCTGGATTTCTTCTGTGAATTTTTGTCCTAAGGGTGACAGTATAGACCCTAGTAACCAACATGGCCCAGGAGGTGCAGGGATAAAAGGAAGCATTGCTGTCATTTTAGGAATGTAAACTCTGGAACACTGGCATGGGAAGCAGTTATTGGTGACTGACTGGTTTTTATTTCATGATGGACGGTTTGTGGGCTGTACTGATGGACACTTCTGTATGCTTTTCTCTCATCTAGCAATTGGGTCGGATGGCCTGTGTTGTCAGAGCAGAGAAGTGAAAGAATGGCATGGGTGCAGAGCCACTAGAGGATTGCTGAAAGGTATTTGACCCACAGCTCTCGGTCACATACAAGTGTAACTCAGAACAGTGGGGGCTGGTAAATGTGTCGTGTGCATGTAATTTGTGTAAATCTCATAGAGTTTTACCCTTACAGGAAAACACTACTATGAGGTATCCTGTCATGACCAAGGGCTGTGCAGAGTTGGGTGGTCTACCATGCAGGCCTCCTTAGACCTAGGTAAGTGTTTCTATAGTAACTGAACTACCTTATACGTATAGATTGTTAACATTTTGTTATTTGGGAGACAAACTAATAGACTTCACTATACTGGGGTGTAATTTTATGGACACAAAAGATATTTATGTGTACCTCTCCCAGTTCCAGAAAAGACTTAAAGTAAGTTACTGCTTGCTTCCAATTAGCACCTCCACTTCATGTTCTGTCAATGTGGAACTGGAGAATAAGATTAAGAATGAAGATCAGGCTAAACCTAGCATGCTTGAAACATACACTACTGCAAAGACACTTCAGATGATTGTGAGTTTGTGACCAAAGCCAAGGGTGCAGCAGTGTCACTTGTGTCTGTAATATTGCATATTCTGCATTGATTGAAAATACCCCAGGTGATGCAGGGCTCAGGAGCCTAGGGAGGTTTGTCTGCTCTGGGCTCTGAGACTGCATGGGTAAAATCACTTCTTCCATGTGGCTTTTAAAGCTCGTTGTAAACTCAGAGTTCTAGTAAACTACCTTTAAAATCTAGGTACTGACAAGTTTGGATTTGGCTTCGGTGGAACAGGAAAGAAATCCCACAATAAACAGTTCGATAATTACGGAGAGGTAAGCTCTAATGCTGTTTATTCAGTAATGTTTGTAAATCTTCTTGCATTCTTGATCACTTAGGACGTGACTGAGCATGTGGAAATGCTTCTCAAAGACAAGCATTTTCCAAAGATAGTTCAGGTTTGGCCTGGAAAAAGAAATTGATGTACGACTAAACAGATAGTACTTAAAATTTTATTAGCCCCTCCAAAGTATATTGTCTTTATCTCATTCTGACTTTGGAACTTATATCTATGTTATGCTCATTTCTTAGTTTTGGTTATGAGGACTTTAAATATAGTTCTCTGACCCTAAATCCATGGCATTATTCCTTAATGTCATGTTGATTCTGAGAAGCCTGTCGCATGTATCTGCTATTGGATGGGATGTGTGCTCTGACAGTTTTCTGGTGGTTTACTTTCCTAAGAGAAAATCTTATCTGTAACCTAGGTTCCTGGTGATCTTGTGCCTCAGTCTCTCCCATGCTGGCTTACAGGAGTGAGCCACCATGCCAGATGGTCATTTTTGAGACCTTCCTTACCATGTAGAGAAATTCTTTTGAAACACCAGTGTTTGCTTTGATGCTGCTGTCTGTGACTTGTTAACCTCGTTTCAGATCTTGCTTTCTGATAATGACATTTACTTTCTGGGATTTCAGGAATTCACTATGCACGATACCATTGGCTGCTACTTAGATATTGATAAAGGGCATGTGAAGTTCTCTAAGAATGGTAGGTGCTCTGGATCTTCTCGGTAAGAAAAATTGTGATTCTTGGTTCTGTTCTCTTACTCTCCTCTTCAGTCCTCTATTCACCTTTCATTTCAGTATTTGTTTTGTTGAGTATTTGCTATGCGCCATCTGTACTAGTCAAGTGATGAAACCACGACAGGAGGTGGAGCAGATGAAGGGCAACTCTGGTGCTTTCACACTGATGAAGAGAGGCAGACACCCATTGTTTACAAGTGAAACGTTAGCGTTAGGTGGGAAGGAGAGGAAAAGCAAGGCAAGGGAGTACATTGTTGTGTGGGGGTGTGTGCTTTTCCATACATTGCTGTGTGGGACGTGTGCTTTTCCATACATTGCTGTGGGGGGGTGTGCTTTTCCATAATGAGTACATTGCTGTGTGGGTGTGTGCTTTTCCATAGTGAGAGCTCAGAGAAGGCTCTGCTGATGAGAAGACCTTTAAAATGAGTCAGTTTTCAGTTGGGTAGGGTTGTGCTGAGACTTAAAGAAACATTTCAGGCAGAGGGAAGAGCAAAGAGAAGGTTCTGGGGTGGAAGTGTGCACTGCCTTAGCAACAGGTAGGTGGTACCCGTGTCAGGTGCTTGAGCTGCAGGGAGAGATGTTAGCTCAGTGGGTAGGCTGTAGAGCGAGCTTTGCTTTTTGTTCTGAATATGTTGGAAACCTTCTGCGGCTCTGAACAGAGGGGTGGCATGTCTCCAACAGGATGGGCCAGCTATGTTGAAAACAGACTAGGAGGTGGGAAGTGGGTTGAAATCACCTATGGAGTAAGAGTACATAACTGATAGTAAAGCTCCAAAGCCTGCTTCCTGTGGCTAAAAGCTGTCTAACTGAGGAGAATCTAGCAGAGAGAAGAGAGTGAAGAACAGGGGTGCATGGGATCCGGCTACCTAAGGGGAGACTATTTCACAGAGGGGGGAAGAACTCAGCTTGCGCCCAGTTCTGCTGAAAGTATTATCAAGAGAGACAGGAGCGACCGTTCTCTATAGGATTTGGTACTCGATAGCTATTTTGGTAGGGCAGAGAGGTGGGTGAACATGAGTCAGACATGTAGCCAATGGGGATAAACAGAAGGAAGAATGTCCTAAAATCAGAAATCAGGGACTTTACTTCATAAATGAAAAGAAAAATGCAAGTTAAGTGGAAGGAGCAGTGGGTCCAAGGGAGGGTTTTGTGTCTAATGTAGGAGTATGTGTGAGCTATGAAGAGGCAGAGGTCTTGTAGAAGGGAGTAATGAGACATGTAGACAGGAAGAGGGGACAGTTAGTCACGTCAAACAGCGAGGAGACTGGCTCCAGACAGCCCACCTACATCCCTGGGTTCCAGAGAGCATGAGAAGGCAGGGCAGGTTAGTGGCGTCTCTTGTGCATGTGGAAATTTTTCTTCATTTTAATTTCTCTGCTTCTGTTTATTTGTTTTAAAGGAAAAGACCTTGGTCTGGCATTTGAAATACCAGCACATATCAAAAACCAAGCCCTCTTCCCTGCCTGTGTTTTGAAGGTAATTAGAAGTTTTTCTGTGATTTAAACTGTTTGATTTTCATTATATTTTACTTGGCAGTTTGCCATTAGGTTAAAACTTTTTTTTTCTTTTATTCAATACCAGAATGCTGAATTGAAATTTAACTTTGGTGAAGAAGAATTTAAGTTTCCACCAAAAGACGGTTTTGTTGGTCTCTCCAAGGCCCCAGATAGTTACATTGTCAAGTCGCAGCACACAGGTACTTACTGCATCTGAGAGGGTGAGAGTTTCTAGAGAATTCCAGTGGGAGGGCCTCCTCTTAGTGAGTCCCATTTGCCTCCTGTTCTGGTTGAATCCACCGCCTTAAGAGACTAGTAAAATTCCATTTCAGAACTTAAATGATGAATTACTTTGTGTCTGTTAAGGCATTTGGGCTATCTCAGTCTTGATGGCAGTGGTAGGCTTGGCTTCTGTGCTTGTGAGTAAGTGCTTTCCACAGATTGTTTAGTCTTCACACAGCCCTCTGGGGTAGTGCCCTTCACATTTTACAAGGGGCCCGAAGATAAGGATTTGAAGTCAATTGCCCAAGATAAGTAGGACTGAATTCAGATCCAAGTGGTCTTGACTTGAAAGTTTACACCATTTCCTGTATTATTGCCTGGTATATAGTTCATCCACTTAAATACATTTTCTGGCTTGTCAGAAGGAAATGGGTTATTTTTAACAACTGTATCAATCAATTGTTCTCATCTCAATTAGACTTTTAAAAAATCATAAGTTATGTTAGGAATTTTAGCTTTATTTTGTTGGATTATGTCCCCATATTTTACTATTATTACCGTACATTAGCATGCACGGTTTTCAACTGATGGTATTTTTGGGTGTGCTTTATGTGACCTGTGGTCCTCTCTGTTCTCCTAAGGTAATGCACAGGTGTCACAAACAAAATTTCTCCCTAATGCTCCAAAAGCTCTCATTGTGGAGCCCTCACGGGAGTTAGCTGAACAAACCCTGAACAACGTCAAGCAGTTTAAGAAGTATATTGATAACCCTAAGTTACGGTAAGCCTTCCTTTTGAGCTCAATGCTTATTGTCTTTAAGTTTAAATTGTTCTGGAAAAATAAAGTTAAACAAGAGGAGGTATTGATATACTACATGAAACACTATAACTTTGTGGTAATAGTGTTTTCATTCAAACTTTCTTCCTTTGGCCAGAGGTTGATTTCATTCAGTGTTAAATTAATTTCATTTCTTCACTCTTCACTGATGACAGAGCTCCTGCTTAGTGTATAAGAGTCTGAGACCTTCCGAGGAGTATTTTTGGAAACAAGTAAAATGCCTGTGTGGCTTGATTTGTTACTGTTGCTATCTATAAAAATTAATGTGCTTAGACAAAGGCTATAGGGGGAGATAGATGGTAAAAAACAGTTCACTGGTGAAGATGATGAAACTATGGATTATTAATTTGGTATTTAATACAAATAAGTCCTTGCCTTACTTTGAAGTTCTAGTGCCTATTTGACTATATTTAACCTATCTACACAGTGAGTTTGAGGCCAGTCAGGGCTACATAATGAGACCCTGCTTCAAAAAAGGGGGATTTGGTGTCTAGAGACATAGCTCACTGGTAAAGAGCACTGGCTACTCTTCCAGAGGACCCAGGTTCAATTTCCAGCACCCACATGTTGACTCACAATGGTCTGTAACTCAAGTTCCAGCAGATCTGACAGCCTTCCATGGGCAGCAGACATGTATGTGACGTATATAACTGCATGCTGTGTGCGTGTTGGCAAAACACTCGTGCACATGAAATAAATCTTTTTTCTTTTTGGTTTTTCGAGACAGGGTTTCTCTGTTTAACAGCCCTGGCTGACCTAGAACTTACTAGACTGGGCTGACCCTGAGCTCACAGAAATCTGCCTGCTTCTGCCTCTGCCTCTCAAGTGCTGGGGTTAAAGGCATCCACTACCACCACCCGGCTTATAAATCTCTTTTTAATGAGATAATTTTTTGTCTCTTAAACAAGCTATGAGTGACACTAAATACAAGTCTTATCTTTAGTTTCTGATTGTCCTTCCTAAAGGCAACCTTTTTAAATTCTGATTTCGAGCCATTTTTCCAGAACTACTCTATATACAAATAAATATATTTTAAAAGGTAGAAATCTGGTTTTGGAGAGCTTATGTGGGGGAGGCTGTGCAGCTGAGGACTGAGTTCCTTACTCTAAGCTCTCAGTCTCCTCCGTGCCATTCCTGGGTTTGGGGGTGAGGTGCTCTGCTCCCATCTCCGTACTCACTTTATCGCGGCTCTCCATCAGTGACGTAACTGTAGACCAGACTTTAGTCTTCCTCCTTTATCATTCTGCTGTTCATTCCAGGGAGCTTCTCATAATTGGAGGTGTTGCAGCTCGGGATCAGCTGTCTGTTTTGGATAATGGGGTAAGTTGTGCTTTTAACTTCGGAACAAATTCTGTTTTGTCCAAGAAAAGTCAAATGAGGCTAAAATGAGCACAAGACCTCAAAAGAGGCTTTGCTGAAAGATGTCTTGTGGGCACATCCTCTTTTTACCCAGAAGTTAGAGCAGTTGTCCTTTTTTAAATTCTCCATCTGAAATTCCACCATGTTTTGTTTATGCTTTGCTTCCTGGGAATTTCCTTCTAGACTTCTAATTAAAAGTCACATTTTGCTGGGCGGTGGTGGCGCACGCCTTTAATCCCAGCACTCGGGAGGCAGAGGCAGGCGGATCTCTGTGAGTTCGAGGCCAGGCTGGGCTGACAGCCTCCAAAACAATACAGAGAAACCCTGTCTCGCAAAACCAAAAAAAAAAAAAAAAAAAGTCACGTTTTATTTTGTTTATTTGCCTTTTTTTTTTCTTGAGACAGGGTTTCTCTGTGTAATAGCCCTGGCTACCCTAGAACTTATACTGTAGACCAAGCTGGCTTCAAACTCACAGAAATCTGCCATCTGCCCGCTTCTGCCACCCAAGTGCTAGGATTAAAGGCATGCTCCACCACCCCCGAGTGTATTTATTTATTTGTTTGTTTGTTTGTTTGTTAAAAACAAGCAATGTTGAGTACAAGTGTGGATATGGAAATGATGAGGAATAATGAGACGGTCTGAGCCTAGTTTAATCACACTCTCAATTATAATGACATAAGGGGAGCACTCAGTCTAATCACAGTAACTCAATTATAATGACATAAGGGGAGCACTCAGTCTAATCACAATTACTCTCAATTATAGTGACATAAGGGGAGCACTCAGTCTAATCACAGTAACTCTCAATTATAATGACATAAGGGGAGCACTCAGTCTAATCACAGTTACTCTCAATTTTAATGACATAAGGGGAGCACTCAGTCTAATCGCAGTTACTCTCAATTATAGTGACATAAGGGGAGCACTCAGTCTAATCACAGTAACTCTCAATTATAATGACATAAGGGGAGCACTCAGTCTAATCACAGTAACTCTCAATTATAATGACATAAGGGGAGCACTCAGTCTAATCGCAGTTACTCTCAATTATAGTGACATAAGGGGAACACTCAGTCTAATCACAGTAACTCAATTATAGTGACATAAGGGGAGCACTCAGTCTAATCACAGTAACTCTCAATTATAATGACATAAGGGGAGCACTCAGTCTAATCACAGTAACTCTCAATTATAATGACATAAGGGGAGCACTCAGTCTAATCGCAGTTACTCTCAATTATAGTGACATAAGGGGAACACTCAGTCTAATCACAGTAACTCAATTATAGTGACATAAGGGGAGCACTCAGTCTAATCACAGTAACTCAATTATAGTGACATAAGGGGAGCACTCAGTCTAATCACAGTTACTCTCAATTATAGTGACATAAGGGGAGCACTCAGTCTAATCACAGTAACTCAATTATAATGACATAAGGGGAGCACTCAGTCTAATCACAGTAACTCAATTATAATGACATAAGGGGAGCACTCAGTCTAATCGCAGTTACTCTCAATTATAGTGACATAAGGGGAACACTCAGTCTAACCACAGTAACTCAATTATAATGATATAAGGGGAGCACTCAGTCTAATCACAGTAACTCAATTATAGTGACATAAGGGGAGCACTCAGTCTAATCACAGTAACTCAATTATAGTGACATAAGGGGAGCACTCAGTCTAATCACGGTTACTCTCATTTATAGTGACATAAGGGGAACACTCAGTCTAATCACAGTAACTCAATTATAGTGACATAAGGGGAGCACTCAGTCTAATCACAGTAACTCAATTATAATGACATAAGGGGAGCACTCAGTCTAATCACAGTAACTCTCAATTATAGTGACATAAGGGGAGCACTCAGTCTAATCACAGTAACTCTCAATTATAATGACATAAGGGGAACACTCAGTCTAATCACAGTAACTCAATTATAATGACATAAGGGGAGCACTCAGTCTAATCACAGTAACTCAATTATAATGATATAAGGGGAGCACTCAGTCTAATCACAGTTACTCTCAATTATAGTGACATAAGGGGAGCACTTAGTCTAATCACAGTAACTCTCAATTATAGTGACATAAGGGGAGCACTCAGTCTAATCACAGTAACTCTCAATTATAATGACATAAGGGGAGCACTCAGTCTAATCACAGTAACTCAATTATAATGACATAAGGGGAGCACTCAGTCTAATCACAGTAACTCAATTATAGTGACATAAGGGGAGCACTCAGTCTAATCACAGTAACTCAATTATAGTGACATAAGGGGAGCACTCAGTCTAATCACAGTAACTCAATTATAATGACATAAGGGGAGCACTCAGTCTAATCACAGTAACTCAATTATAGTGACATAAGGGGAGCACTCAGTCTAATCACAGTAACTCAATTATAGTGACATAAGGGGAGCACTCAGTCTAATCACAGTTACTCTCAATTATAGTGACATAAGGGGAACACTCAGTCTAATCACAGTTACTCTCAATTATAGTGACATAAGGGGAGCACTCAGTCTAATCACAGTAACTCTCAATTATAATGACATAAGGGGAGCACTCAGTCTAATCGCAGTTACTCTCAATTATAGTGACATAAGGGGAGCACTCAGTCTAATCACAGTAACTCAATTATAATGACATAAGGGGAGCACTCAGTCTAATCGCAGTTACTCAGCTATAATGACATATGGGGAACACTCAGCACATACTGGCATGCAGTGCTCTGTGTGTCTTTTCTTCATTATCAAAACTGTTCTGTAAGATAAAGAATTTTCCCTGTTTAAAATGAGAAAATTGATACTAGATGACATCATTCATGGTCTCACAGTGGGATAATGGTGGAACTGGGATTCAAGTTCTTGTCTAATTTTAGAATTCATGTAAATTCATGTTTCTTCTTGCAAAATGCAAATTTTATATATTAGACTATGTTTAGAAGTTAAAGCTGTCTAAAATCAGTTGCTAAAGTTATATTAACTTCAAATGAAACACAAATGTGATGTATAATATTATATATCCATTGTATTGACTGTCACTATTTCAGTATTCTCGCATTTGTTTTAAGTAGAAAGTGATACTTTGCTATTTTAAAGTAATTATACTAATTTTTCAGTTTACCTTCAGTGTTACTTTTGTCTTTTTAGGTTGATATTGTTGTCGGTACTCCAGGAAGATTAGATGATTTGGTATCAACTGGAAAGCTCAACTTGTCTCAAGTTAGATTCTTGGTTCTGGATGAAGCAGTATGTTGAAATATTTTCTTTAGAGTATGCTTATGTTTTTTCATGTAAGATTTATAAAAAGGAAAAAATATAATTCAGCCATGTCCTATTACCTAAATATCACAGTTAAGCACATTTTCAAATACTGTTGATATACAGACATTTAACTTTTTGTATGTGTATATTAAATCAAGCTTGAGTAAAAAAATTTGAGAAATCCCATTTATATTGAACATATGTAGACTTTTATGATTTTGCTTAAATAATACAGTGCTACAGCTATTTACATAGCATTTACATTGCATGTAGATATGAGGAATCCAAGTGTGCTTTAAAGTAGGTGGAGAATATGCAGTAGCTTTACACCAAGGACTTGAGCATCTGAATTTATGGATCCAGTAGGGATTCTGGCACTGAATTACTGTAGGGAATTGAAATCAATCTTTGGAAGTTCAGGCAAATCTTTATTTTAAAAAAATTGCATCACAAATGTTTCATATCATTATTTGTAATTACTCTTTGAAGGCTGTTTAATGATCTGTTATATGGATACATCAGGATTTGTTTAATTTCTCTCTGACTAGTTCCACAGGTAGTTTGCTTTTTTATTCCTAATAGCTGTTTGTACATACATTATTTTTTATACAACAAATTATTTTTTTTAATGTCAGATGCAAAATGTGGACCATCTGGAAGAACATAAGTGTGTTTGAGGCTTTTGAAATACTCTTTCAAATTGTTCTCAAGATGGTTGGGTTAATTTCCCAGCACTGAAGCTTTTTCAGTTTTCAAATTGAAGTCATTATCTTAATGACATGTGTTATAAACTATTGTATTAATTTTAGAATATTGGAGTATGGTTTGGGTTTATTTATTATACCTTTTTCATATTGTAGTCACAGGGAACCTAAAGTTGAATTTATAACTTGTCTTTAATATCCAGCAGATAATTATTTTATAAATATGGGGATATGTATGTATATATGTTTGTTTTTTTTTTTAATCTTACATTTTCAATTTAAAACTTAAGATTTTAATACTGATTAAAAACTCTTTTCTTCTACAGGATGGGCTTCTCTCTCAAGGTTATTCTGACTTTATCAACAGGATGCATGGTCAGATTCCTCAGATTACTTCTGATGGGAAAAGACTTCAGGTATCAAATGACTAATGCGGCTCAAAAATGTCTGTAGACAGTGTTATTCACTGTTGCAGGAACAAAGAGTTTTGATTAAGTACACTGTATAAAACATTTTCTTTGTTACCATCTAGTTACTGAGGAGTACACACACACAGATGACAGTCTAAATAGAGGTGCTGTTTCCTGTGCGAAGGGGAAGTAGCTTCAGCTATTGACAGTCACCTTTGTAGTGATTGTTTTTGAAAGCATTGCCCTTCCTTTTCTCATCCTTCCATAGGAAGCATTTGAGAAAAGAGAGATATTAAAGAAAGGGAATGAACAATAACTTGAAGCCTTTGATTTTAAAAACAAACAAACTGGAAAGCTTCCAGAGGGAGAGATGGCATGGTTTCTATGTGACAGTGAGGGGACTGACAGTGTGCCGGTGTGACATAGTTAATAGTGCATGGATATGTACTGACTGATAGCCTTCCATTGTCACATTGTTAGTAGTTATTACATGGAGTCAGGTATTGGATGTGTTTTAGATTCCCTGGTTACTATACTTTGTTCTTACATCATTCATTGTGAGTGTGGTTCTCAAAACATAAAAGAAATAAGCTTTAAAGGGGAGTGTGACGGGATGCTGATTGTTATAAAGCTGATCTGAACCAAGCTCTCCCATTCTTAGGTGATTGTTTGCTCTGCTACTTTGCACTCTTTCGATGTAAAGAAACTCTCTGAGAAGATAATGCATTTTCCCACGTGGGTCGATTTGAAAGGGGAAGATTCTGTTCCAGATACTGTACACCACGTCGTTGTCCCTGTAAATCCGAAAACTGACAAGCTCTGGGAACGGCTTGGAAAGAACCACATTCGAGTAAGTGCCGTGCAATGTGAACATTTGTGTGGAGAGCTGATCTTGGGCTCTTAGCAGTGCTTAAAGCTCGAGCCTTTGTCCCAGAGCCTAGCATGAAGCAGTGTTTTGACTGTGAAAGCTTGGGCATGTAAAAGGCACCAAATAAATGTCAAATTTCATCTTTTACTTTTCTCTTTGTGATTAGCTCCCTTGATCCAGTTTTTGCAAATAAGATTACCTATGTCAAATTTCAGATGCAGAAACTTCCATTTTAGTAACATTCCAATAGGAGCTATGTTGTGTCCTTTTGTTGTGCCCTGTTCTCATCAAAGTCCGTTTCACTTACTCATCTTGCCCTTTTCCCCATTGTTACTACATTTACTTATATAATAAAGATGTGTGCATTCTAAGTATGCAGTAGCCCGAAAGCTACATTTTTATTTCCACTGGTCCATTTATACTTAATTTCCTTAGTTAATGAAGGACTTTTCTGAATCTGAAAAATGGTTTTGTGTACAGATTATAAAGTAGTGCTTGAAATTCAGTGTAAAGACAGATTAATTTCTTCCTTTAGACACTTGCTCTTAATCACTCCTTATCATCCCCATTCCTTTTTAATCTCTCACTTTTGATAGACTGATGATGTACACGCAAAAGATAACACAAGACCTGGTGCTAACAGTCCAGGTAAGCGGAAAAAAATTAATAAATGTGTTAAGGATCTTAGAGATGATTTGTTTGCTCTGTTGGATTTCTACTTCAACTATTTTCCTGAAAGACATGAGATATGACCTAGAAAGTTAGAATGGGAAAATAAAAGCAGTAAGAAATAACAAGAAATGGGGCATGCTAATACCAGTTAGCTTAGAGGAGGAATGTGAATCAGTGAACTTAGACATGAGTTGTGTGACTTCAGAATCATAAGTCTTTTAGATCATAGAAAACTTAACACATTTGTCTAGAGACAGATTTATATTGACCTTGAAATTCAAGAAAAATAAAGATGAGGCATGGGGGGAGGATATGCCTTCAGCTATAATGGTGAAAGACAAATAATCTGGCTTTCTTGATTATTTTTGTGATCATTGTGACTTTTAATGTGTGATTCAGGGCATTAAACACATTTATATTGTTCAACCTTACTACTGTCTGTCTGCAGGGCTTCATATACTTAAACAAAAACTCTACCCGTTTGTCACAGTTCAATGAAGATAGCCTATGAGACAGTTTGTTTCGTGTCCATAGCATTTCAAAAATGTATAGGTACAGTAGGATACAAGGTGCTACAACCTAAGTAAATGGATCTTAAACTTGTAGACTGCATGTCTGGCATCAGATGTCTTGGGTGGGTCCTTAGAAGAAGAGTTCACTGAGAGGTTTGTGACATGCATTTGAAAGGGATTGGCTACAATCTTGATGAGAGTTCCTTTGAAATCAGTTTTATGTATAACTCCAGATTAGCATTATCTGTACTTACTTCTTCCTGTTGAAGAAAAGTAGACAAAGTGCTAGTTAAGCACATTTTGTTAACCCATAGTCAGAGGGGCACCTCATAACTTCATAAGTACCAGTTGTTACTGCATCCTGTGTTGCTGTTAAAGCTTTCACTGACTCCACTGTAGTTGGAGACAACCAGAGAGCATTTACACACAGCTTGGGCATCAGCAGAGAGTTAACATGATAGTACTCCTTTCCATGACTCAGAAGCTTCCAGCCAGGTTTTCATTCTGTGGAGTAGTGTTAGGCTGGTTAGATTTACTAATTTCCTTAAGGCTTAAGATAATCCAGTAATCAGGTCTTGAACATAAGGGGAAGTTAATGCAAGAGCAATTATAACTAATGCTTGAGAGGAAAGTACCAAGGTTTGGTGTATGTAGCTTTTGTATTAGTGTGTTTGCACATTTGTGTTCTTCTTAAAAGGTTGTGTGTGTGTGTGAGAGAGAGAGAGAGAATGCACTAAAAGTATAAGACATCGACAGAAACAGAAATAAATGAAGTAATGAATTAACTCAATATTTCACTCTCATGCTCTACCTTATCTGTAGTATAGCAGGGATTTTTAGAGTTAAGCAATGTGTCTGACTGATAATGTGTACTCATGACAGCTTCAGATTGACATTCTGTTACTTTTTCTGTTGTTGCTATGGTAATCAAGAGATGTGGTCTGAAGCTATTAAAATACTTAAGGGGGAGTATGCTGTCCGAGCAATCAAGGAGCACAAGATGGATCAAGCAATTATCTTCTGTAGAACTAAAATTGACTGTGATAACTTGGAGCAGTACTTTATGCAACAAGGAGGAGGTAAATTTTTTTCACTTCTTTCCTCATTTCATAGACTATTAGCTGCACATTGATAAAAGCCATAATGCATGCACAGAGAGAGTTGAAAGCAGTGATGGCACATTGTAACTTACCAGTGTCTTTCCAGTACATTTTCATGGATAAACCTTGGGGGTAAATTGTGAGAACTTTCCCACATTGCTACAGTCTTCATTAAAGTAAACCTGAATCATGGAATTCTAAGGCTGTAGATCTAGGTTACTGATTAACACTAACATTTAAAGACTAAAGGCTAAAACAATAATAGAAAGTATGATTTCTAGACTGGTAAATAGGAGAAAGGAATGAGGGAAAAACCTTAAATAAGGCTAAAGGAAGAAAGAAGCCAGGCATCATGGTACACACCTGTAATCCCAGTACTTGGGAGGCAGAGGCTGGAGGATCATGAGGTGAGATAGTATCTCAAAAGCCCAAGAACTGGGGATATAGCTCAGAGGTAGGACTTGCCTGGTCATGAATAAGGTTCTGAGTTCCATCTCTAGTCCTTAAGGAAAAAAATACATATTAGAAATCAGAGAATAAGATTAATATTGTAAAAATCCTGACTAAACTTAAGTGTTGGTGGACTGAAGTATTCTGCTAAAGTCATATAGAGTATTAATCTAGATGAATATTAGGTATATGTTGTTAAAAAAAGAACATACCAAAAACCCAAGAAAATTATTAAAAACCATTTTCTGGTTTGCAAGATACACGTTCTATTATGTTAGTCATGACTTTAATTTTAATAAACACATATGGCAAAATACTAATCTAAAAGTCTAGTAAGGGATGAAGAAGTAGATCTTAAAAGTATTAGTCGAAATAAAGGGTCACTACTATAGTGAAAATATAATGGCCCAAACCTTGCAAATAAATAAGACATTAAAATTAACTAGACCCAAAGTCTATACAAGTCAGTGAATTCCTATACAGGTAGAATAGACATTAAAATGGAAATTTTTTACATTTAGATGATTTCATGTTTAAATACATAAATCAATGTGGAAATATTCCTAAGTTGAAATGGAAATATCAAATTTTGCTAGGGCTGTGGAGCATGCCTGAGTACTCTCATTTGGTGTTGAGATTAAGTGGTAGAACCACTTCAGTCAAAGGGTCCATTCTTACACAGTTAGCTTAGAGGTTTTTGGGAGTGTGTGTGGTGGGGGGGTACACATGCGTGGAAGCCAGAGAGGTCTTTGATGACTTCCCACCTTTTTGCACTACTAGCCAGTGAGTTCCAAGGGTCTACCTGTCCATCCCCACACTCAGTGCTGGGCTTAAAGATGCTGACTCTGCCCATGCTTACTGCCTCCCCAGCCTTTCGTGGATTTTACTTTAATGTCATTTTGCCTGTGACAGAAAAGTTGTTGCCTGCATTTGTGCCAAGCTGGGGTATGATCTTTATAGATAGGTGCTGTTAGTTTGCCTTTCAAGGTCAGTTGTTCAATATGCTTTTCACTAGGACCTGATAAAAAAGGACACCAGTTCTCATGTGTGTGTCTTCACGGTGACAGAAAGCCTCATGAGAGAAAACAAAACTTGGAAAGATTTAAGGTACAGTGCCTGGTTGCCTGCGTTTCCTTATTATTTAAAGTTGTTGATTGTAGTGTTCTTGTGACACTTTATATCATTGAAGCAGTTCTTATCCTAGAGACTGAAAACATTTACCCTTACCCATACATCTTCATTGTACTATGTGTTAGTCATCTTTGACACTCAGATAGCAAATTTCATGTTCCTGGTAGGTAGGCTTACTACCACGGCCACTGCTCCTGAGTAGTGTGCTCAATAAGCTATTCTTTGACATACCTACATTTACATTACTTTTCTCACGAAGATACTTTGTACAAGTATGGGCTAGTAAACCATGTCATGAACACTTACAGAGAATTCCCTTTGTTAATAAATGAAGGTGGTCATTAGGGTTTGGTTGCATTTTGCTCTTGTTTGGAGTGCACCCTTCCAGGTGCTTCTGCATACTGATGGCTTTCAGAGCTCTGGGTGTGTTTAGTAGGCCTCAGCCATTTAGAGCTGAACATCAGCACTTTCTTCCTTCTCATTGACATTCCTGTTCACCAGAGTGCTCATTGCTATGTACAGGATAGGTGTACATGAGACCCATGGTGTGGAAAATGTGGACATATGATGCCCATGCTGATATCCCTGGCTTCATTCACCAAGTGCACTGCCATTTGGGGCTTACAGGAGACCAAAAGTCAGTTCAGTGTGCTCCTCTCACCTCCCAATCCTGTTTCCTCTGCACTGAAGCATCCAAAGCTCATTTGTGTCTCCTTTGTAAGCACCAGGGGCTCATTCCCTACTCCTTCTCTGGGACTTGTCTGTTGTTACAAAAGAAGTGTGACCTTGGGGTAATGTATCTAGTTGCCTGGACTTACTTTGGTATTTGAGATTTTTTAAAAATAGGTGTGGGTGTTTTACCTGCACCACATGTGTGTAGTGCCCACAGGAGTCAGAAGAGGGTGTTGGATCCTCTGGAACTGACATTACAGATTGTTGCTAGTGCTATATAAGTGCTGGGAACGGAACCCAGAGAACAGTCAATGCACTTAACCATTGAGCCATCTCTCCAGCCCCTAGATTTAGTTTAATCTGAGTAAAGTTAACACCTAAGTTTCTATGTTCTGTTCTATTGTGTATTTTGGGGTTTCTGAAGACATTTCTAAAGAGTAAAGATAAAGCCAGGTTTAATAACACTGGTGTAAGAAAAACAAGGTTGAATCCAACCACTCATATCGTGTTTCTGCAGATACTAGAGTAAAACGCCAAGACTTGGTCCAGCAGGTTATGTCCAGACAGCAAATCTGAAAGTAATGTTTAGCTCTCTTGGTGGAAAGATTGTTTTCATGTCTTGTACATTCACTGACAGAATCCTTTCTTTTTTTCTTGGTTCATTTAGAAAGGAGACGTAAGATTCTTGATTTGCACAGATGTAGCTGCTAGAGGAATTGATATCCACGGTGTTCCATATGGTGAGAAGACGTTTTCTGCTTTACACTGTAACCTCACAGACAATGGCAGCTGTTAACCCTGCTTTACTTGCAGTTATAAATGTCACCCTGCCTGATGAGAAGCAGAACTACGTGCACCGGATTGGCAGAGTGGGGCGAGCTGAAAGGTATTGGCCAGGCTCTTCCTCCCCTTTGAGCTCCTGTGTTTCAGAACTGAGGTCTAATTCAGGCTTTGAAATCTTGCAGGATGGGCCTGGCCATTTCCCTGGTGGCAACAGAAAAAGAAAAGGTAATCTTCCCAGTGTTCTGTTATGGTCATTGTGAGTTGTAGTTTTGATTGGGAAGTAAAAGCAGTTTGATTTTCCTACTGAGATTAGAATCAGTCACAAAGGGGAGTAAGTGAAAATTTTATGGCATTTCCTCCCTCTGCATGGATTGAATAGACAAATAATAGCACATGGTTTACAATGGAAAGGGCAAAACACAGACATTCCTAAGAGCCCTAGCACAGCTTTTTCAACAAAAACTAACACTATAGGGTGATGCACACTTTGGGGTGACACAGGTACACACACACACACACACACACACACACACACACACACACACACACACAGATTTGCAGAAGAACTTTTAACTTCTATAAGGTCTCCCATACATCTTTTTCTCAAATTCAAGTGCATGCTTCCCCTATGAGTTTTATATTTCTTAGCTATAAACAGTCTTTAAAATATTAATTTTAATATAACCTTCTCCACTATTTATCTCCTTCCTACCCCATGCCTGCCGTTTTGTAGCCCAGGCTGGCCTCAAATTTGATCTTCCTTGCCTTAGTCTGAGTGCTGAGTTTACAGGCATTTGCCACCATACCTGGCTGCATGTGTCCCTTTGGACATCAGGTTATCATGTCAGTATATGAATTTGTTTGCTTTAAGAATTTCTTTCTGTAACTCACATCCTTTTGTTCAATGATCTGTTCAATTAGCCACCAAGCAGTGGCCATTGAATGAAATACATTATCCTATTTTTCTGGTGTTTTAAGGAAATAAAATGTGAAAATCCCAGAAATTGATAGCAAAATATGTAGTTAGTCCCTATCTCTATACATGTTCATGCTTTTCTCTCTTTACTGTAGGTTTGGTATCATGTGTGCAGCAGCCGTGGGAAAGGATGCTATAACACGAGGCTCAAGGAAGATGGCGGCTGTACCATCTGGTACAATGAAATGCAGGTGAGACCGAGATAGACAAACTGCATCTGTCTAGAAAAATACATCTCTACTTTGACCTGTTTGCGGTTGACTAATGATGTTATTTGTAAGTTGTGATTTGGGAACTCCTTCCAGAGATCTAGCTTGTATTTTGTTCAACCTTTGAGGCTGGCCTAATCTCTATCAAAGTGAAATTTTGATTTGAAATATTGTAATTTTCTCATTTTTTCTTAGCTGCTTTCCGAGATAGAAGAACACCTGAACTGCACCATTTCCCAGGTTGAGCCAGATATAAAGGTTCCAGTGGATGAGTTTGATGGGAAAGTTACATATGGGCAAAAGAGGGCTGCTGGCGGTAAGCTTTCCGATGTTCCGATGCACTGGCCCACCTGCCTCCCTCCCTCCCCGCTCTGCACCCACTGATTCGTAGTCCAGACTGGCCTGAAACTCAACATCCCCCTGCCTCAGCCTTCTCAGTGCTAGCCGGGCTTACATGACCACACAACTAAATCTGCCTCTTTTCAGTGCCCATCAGGTTATAGGCATGTATGACCACACCTAGCTAAGTCTCCTCTTTGAATATCATTGTGTGAAGACCATGATTTTGTTCCCTTATGCTAATAGTATATTATTAGCATGTTAATTATTCTCTACCAATTACTCTCCAGTGTTTTATTATTACTTGGTTTGTAGCATTTTATTGTGTGATCTGTGTGTGAATGAGGGACAGCAATTTAGCTGATCATCTTGAAGCATTCATATCAAGAGTACTTGAACTTTTAATGAAGTATTAGGAAATGAGTATTGTAGGTGATTTTGAACAAAGAATCAGAAGTCTTTCATGTAAATGGCGACTTGTTTAGTGTTCTCTTTGCCCAGACTGATTCTGAATGTTTCTGATTCAGAGTAAACTATGAATATTAATTTCTACTGAAATTCTTGATTTACAAAGTTAAAGCTAAATGTACTGTAGAAAACTTTCCCAGTAGTAAGGTTTTAATGCTAGAAACAGTATTTGAAGTGATAGAGTAGAATTGAGCCCAAGTCTTCCTGACAAGTCTTCATGCGTGTCATTTACATTATTTTATGATTTGTGTGTGTGGTGCAGGTGGAAACTATAAAGGCCATGTGGATATCTTGGCACCTACCGTTCAGGAGTTGGCCGCCCTTGAAAAGGAAGCACAGACATCTTTCCTGCACCTTGGCTACCTTCCCAACCAGCTGTTCAGAACCTTCTGATTGCATGCAGACGGAATAGGATGGCAGTAATAGAGTCTAGAGTCTTACCTCTAACGTGGTGGTGCTGCTTCCAAGAGCAGTATTTATAGCAACCAGGCTATAACCGCTAACTCTTGCATGTCAGGAAACACAAACCTTAGGAATTCTTCATAAAACGATAGCCTAATGAAAATAAATTTGACAGTTACACTTTCATGAAGTTTGTGTCTTCTTTTAAAGTTCCCTTTTTCATCTTTTAAGAATACTATATGCTTGTGAAATAGTTTTTATGGATGATGAGTGTAACCTAGGACCCAAATGAGACTCAGATCGAATATCCTTTAAGTAGAATTTTTCTCAGGAGCAGTACTAGGCTGATGTGATTTTCAGATACTTAAGGCCATCTAGGTATATCATGAAGCAGGAGGAAAGTTACAACGTGAAAGAAAAGCCAAGGATCCCAAGATGAAAGGGCTTTTTGGCCAACTTGGAAAGCAAGAGGGTGCTTAGGACTTAGCTATGATTTGGTGTATGTGGATTGATGACTAGTGTTGGTGACAGTGAAGGTGTCTCTGGATTCTTTTTTTAAGAACCTTTCTTTGCAGGTGATGCACAGAAAGACAAAATGACTTCGCTGACCCTCTGTGTTCTAAAAAATCAGTTCTTTTCTGTCCCTTGATTAAAATATCTCAAGGAGAAATTTAAATGCATACCATTGAATTGGTCTTTTGTGCCTTTGGACTTTTAGTTGAAAAAGTAGTTTCAGAGAGGCATGGGGTAGAATTATTCTCATCCTAGAGATTCCATAAATTGCTGTCCAACTTCAGACTATTGCAGGAAAAAGCTTCAGGTGGACCCAAAGTAGGGATGGAGGGGGTTGAGGAGTGCTCATCGGAGGCCTGACCTGACCTGCTGTCTCTTTCCCCTCCTCTTCACTGATTTTTCTGTTAGCTCCCTCTGTTTCCTTGCGCTTGTGTTGATGGTAATCCTGTTAGTCATTCATCAAGCCTGATGGCCATTGATTACAACCTGAGAGATACTGCTCCTAGAAATAGGAGCTCCTGTGTCTTTTTTTTTTTTTAGTTTTTCTTTTATTTTAGAAGCATTCTTATTTACATATTAATCCTCCCATTCCCTTGCCCTCCCATCCTCCCATGCTCCCCCACCAACCCCCCCAACCCATTCCCCACCCGCTCCCCAAGGATAGTGAGGCCCCCCCTCCATGGAAGATCATCAAAATCCATCACATCATTTGGGGGAGGGCCTAGGTAATCTTTCTTGCATGTGGTCTGCAATAGTATCCCTCCATAGGGAATGGGCTCCCAAAGTCCATTTGTGACCTAGGGATAAACACTGGCTCCACTGTTCCAGGTCCCACAGACTGCCCTGGCCTCCTAACTCACATTCAGAGGGCTTGGTTCGGTCTAGTGCTGGTTCCCCAGCTTTACGACTAGGGTCTCTGCTCTCACTGGGTCAGGTCAACTGTTTTCTGCAGGTTTCTCCGGCAGTCTCGGGAGCTCCCAAGTCTTACTAGGACCCCTTCCCAGGATGCCATCAGTGGGGTTGGGTGTGAAGGAAAGGAATGAGGATCACTTCTGGGCTTCCTCCTCCTGACTCCCCTCACTCGGCCTGGACCTTGGACACACACAGCTCTAGAGAGCCAGTAGATACCGTTAGTTCAGTGTGATACTTGGGAAATGACAGAGAACCGATAAGGGACCCGACTGACCCTAGAAAATAGCCTCCCATTCTCAGCAAATTGTCTGTTAAGGGATCTTACCTGAGCCACCTCATGATCAGATATTGGTCACAACACTAAAGGCCTTTGAAAAGCTAGGATGTGTGAAATATTAACTCGTAAGTGGTAATGTTTCTGACTTGACTTCCTTGTTGTCCTTGTTTATTAAATTCCACAGGAACTGAGCCGCTGTTCACAGATCTGGGCTCCACCCATCTCCACAGCTTGCCCCACTTGAGCTCACAATGGGTGTGGTCTTCTCCAGCCCTGCCTTCAGGCTCGGGGTGTGAGGGCCTCTCCTGCATAGTGCCTGGGGTGGTTATGTGCTTGGGGAGCTGGGGACTATTTCTAACCTTGATACGCTTGTCACAACCCAGTGAAGCGTCCCGTCCCCAATGTTGATGAGCACCAAGGGGAACTGAAAAGCACATGAACTTTATTCACCGCAGGCCTAGACGGAATCTGGCTTGAACCCATGCCTTCAGTATGCTAGAGGGGGAGGCCACCAGCTTCTCTAAACTGTTCTTCCTTCGTGAAAATAATTTGCATGATTCAGTAGTCTGTCGAGCGTTCAGCACAAGTCCAAGGGATGAGAGGCACTCATGCCACACTTATCAGTATCCACACCATTTTCATTGCCCTCGTGTTGTGCACAGTACTGCGGGTGTAGCTTCCGCTTTGGAATGGCTGCTTAAACGCTGATTTCAAGAGGATGAACATGATGGATGTTTTTCAGGGTTACCAGTGCCAAGTCACTGTTTGAAAGGGCTGTGCTGGTTGACATTTACATTGACAACTCGGGAAGAGCCCTGTGGAATACACTTATGAACTAAAATCTTGGGACTTGTTGCGTCTAAGCCTTTGTCTTCCTGTTACCTGTTTAGCCTGTAGGTCATGGCCAGTGAGAGGAAAGCAGGAGACCCTTCTCGATTGACTCCCTAACCCTGCCCCTCCCTCCCTGTGGTTTCCACCACCACCATCACCACCACTGCGTTGGAATACAATATAAACTAAGAGCTAGGCTTGCACTTGGCTTTCCCTTTCATCCCCCCACCCCCTTCAAGATATAACAGAGTGGCAATGACTCAGAACTGCTCCAGACTTAAAATGAAAGAAAAGAATTGGTTCCCGGCCAAGTCTAAGTGGGCAAAACCATTTAGTCACATTCCTTACCTTGTTTTGACTTAGAAAGAAAATATGCACCCCATTGCTGCTTGAGGTATGTGGAATGGGAAAAAAAATGTAGGTAAATATACAGGGAAACCCAGGGTAGATTCCCTTACAGCAATCTTATCATTTGTATAGACACAGGCATTTTCTAAAGCACTACCAGCCGCACTGAAGTACTTCTGTGAGGGTGGTAGAGGAATACATGTTAGAACAAAAGTGCAATGTGCAGGAAGAAAAGGAAGGAATACTGTTTTGCTATTCTAAAACAATTGTGGAGCCTCAATGGGGACTTTAGGGAGAATAGGATAGGAGGTGGCTTCTACGGGGTTCCTCTGGGGGAGGAGATGGGACATTGTAGAGGGTTCCTTTGGTGGAAGAGAAGGTGGGGATCATAGGTTCCCTTAATGGGAGGAAAAGCTGGAGGGTTTTTGCTGTCAATTTCTCCTCAGTTGTTTTAGGTTTGTTTAAAATCCTTTTAAGCTCTAGTTATTTGTTTGTTTCTGACATTCTACTTCTGGTTAAACTCTTAGGGAAATCTAGAAGATTTTGGAATCTAGGAGGCCAGCATTTGATCCCAATAATAGTTACAGACGTCTCCTTAGCCCACTCAGATTGCAGTGTTAGCTCAAGGGTGGGATCCAAAATCTCTGCCTTCTAACCACGTGGGGTTGGTGAGGGATCACAAACAAGGATTGGAGAAGCACAAGGAGAAGGCGCTCTCAAGATTTCATTCTTGTGGCATGTTTTTACCCTAAGATGATTCAAAGGACATCATGACAGTTGATGATGCCTTAAATGAAATGCCAATATCTGTACCTCACTTCCAGGAGCTCTAACTGCTCTGGGTTGGAGAAGGCCTTGGGTGGCCCGGGCAATGCTAGCAAGCTGCTGTGATTGGAGTCTTATTCATCCTTTCCACATGCCCAAGCTGCCATATCTGAGTGTGTGTGTGTGCATGTGCGTGCGTGTGTGTGTGTGTGTGTGTGTGTGTGTGCATGCGTGCGTGCATGTGTTTTCAGAGTCTTGGGGAGAATCTGCAATGGAAACCCCTGGTAGAACAGGAGACCGCTACTTGAATGTTGGAGATGTGATGTCCATCATGAGTTGTCATTTTCTTACCCACATTGTAAATCCCTGCACACCCTGAAATATCTGCTACTTAGTGCTAACAATTACCACATCGGTATGACTTGGGTATGAAAGGAAAGTTCTTAGACAAAGTCCTGGAGTAGGAGGGACTAGCTCGGACCCGTCCTGTGAGCAATTATTACTGCAAAGGGAACCAGCATGAAAGCTCTGGAGAAGTCAGACTTAGCAAGGACTCGCTAAAGAAGTCTTAGCCATACTTGAGTGAGAGCCATTAGCCTGCAGTCTCAGACTAGAGTTTGAGATATTTTGTTTGGCGCTTAAAAGGCAGGCAATTTGGAGAGATTGGATCATATCCGTATCATTACATACTGTTTACTTAAAATATTGGTATTAGTGCTGTAGGCTGTAATAACAAATCTTGTAATGTGTGTCCATCCATAAATTGTTACTCGTTTTACCACTGCTATTGGCTCACGACCCAGCAGGAAGAAAAGACTGCAAAATAAAACAGATCTAATAATGGAGAGACTACAGTCATGTGTTGGGGGTTTGTGGCTGGTTTCCCACCTATGTACACTAGGTGGCGCTAGAGTCACACCGTAAATACCTGCAAAGCCCTGAACACATGTGCTGGTGTATTTTTACCACTTGGGGTCACCTAAGGATTACCTGGCTTCCCCTTTTTCCCCATCTAAGCAAATTCACAGATTCAAAGGAATTATTTCCCCATTACATTTGTCAGAGGCTGTGTTCTTTTTTTTTCTTCCTTTCTTTTTTTTGCTAGATCCTGAAGGCCAAGAAATGTATATTGGGATTTTTTTTCCCCATGAATTGGCCCCACATGGTTAGTGCCTGGGTGGTTCCTCCTGTCACAGGATGGTGGGCCACCACCCCAGCCTTCTCCTGGGCCCACCAGTGGAGACTTCTCTGTATAAAGAACCTGCATACATGTCACGATCATGCTTCACTAATTGCTGTGCTCATTAACATCTCCAGAACTTGGAGTGCTTTTTCTCAGTCATTTCCTTGGAGTCTGCCTGTCTCCGAAAGGCCAGCCCTGAATGGAGCGAGGTGGGTGTCGAGCTAACTAATTGCTGACACCCACCAGACTTCCGGCCTCTTCTACAGCTGATCCTAGGAATCACCCCACTGCCCCAGTAGAGCACACTAGAAATTTGAGGAATGGTCCGGTGGGCTTGCCTGCCTGTGGGTGGGCATG